TTGGCGGCAATGGCAACCGCCAAGCGGGAGGAAGGGGAGGTCCCCCGTCTAACCGTCCGCGTTTTAGTCGGCCACCTCCCAGACAAGTATGGTGGCACCCAGGCCGGCCTGAGGGCCGACCCTGGGAAGATCTGGGCATAGAGCAAAAATTATGGCAAGAACGCATCAACAGCTCTTAGTGCGTGTTCTACGGGGACCCAGGTCATATCATCAAGTTTTGTCCTAAGCATAGGGACCGTGCTGCCTCTCCGGGCAGCAAAAGACAGTTGTCGGTAGGGGTTGCAACCGCCCCTACCCAGGATTATGTGGATCTGAGTGTGCGTGCGAAGTAGAGTCTCCCACTCCACGTCTCCATGGCAGAGGTTGCAGGCCGGCGTCTAGTGGGTTGTCCAGAGACTGCTTGTGTTAGGGTCTCTCTAGACGTTTCCCTCACAGGCTTAGTCGAAGAGTTGAGAGAGAGGAGGCAAGCCTGGGCCAAGACGAAGAAGGATAGTAAAGGACAGTTAATCCTCGCAGACGTAGAAATTTTTAGAGCTAGAGTAGATGCCCTAATAGACAGTGGGGCAACTAGGAGTTATATCATTCGTAAGGCGCAGAAGAAGTTGAAGCTAAATCTAAACGTCCAGCGATTAGAGGAACTTGTAGTCAACATCCTCGCAGACAACAGTAGGATGCGCGTCGAAGAGTATGTCGAGGGGGTCCACGCCTACTTTCGCCTTGAGGAGGATGGGAAGGTAGAGAAAGTACTGCATTCCTTGACCCTCCTCGTAGAAGAGAGTCTCTCGTTTGACCTTGTGTTAGGCACAAATTGGAGAGAGGCAGCGGGAGCCACACTTCACCTTAGAGAGCACGAGTGCAGCCTCCCTAGCGCGTAAGGTGAAGTCAAGCAAGTCCGCCTGTTCCATGAGTTAGATAACCCCCTCGCCAATTGCTGCCTCGGCGCTCCTGCTTTCGCCAGACTTGTGCAAAAGGAGCAGCTCGAAGAGCAGGTGTTCGTAGCCTATGTTAGGCCGATTGCTGACCAGCCAAAGGAAGAAGAGAAGATCCATCCTACTATCGCTAGTCTGCTGGAAGAGTACAAAGACCTATCTGAAGCACCTTCGAAAGTAGTGCCTAGACCGATCCAGCACAATATAGAAATAGAACCTGGCAGTAAAACGCCTAAGGGGGCAGTCTACAGGATGTCTCCCAAGGAGTTAGAGGAGCTTCGCAAACAGCTAGACGAGCTCCTAGAGAAAGGATGGATCAGGCCTGGCCCGTCACCGTTCGGCGCACCTGTTCTATTCGTCCCAAAGAAAGAGGGAGAGTTGCGTATGTGCATAGACTACAGGGGACTGAACGTCATCACAATTAAGAATGCAGAGCCACTACCTCGCATAGATGACCTGTTAGATCGAGTGCAAGGATGCAAATATTTCTCAAAGATAGATTTGAAGTCAGGTTACCATCAGATAGAAGTGCATCCTGACGATCAGTATAAGACGGCGTTCAGGACAAGATATGGGCATTACTAGTTCATAGTGATGTCGTTTGGACTTACTAATGCACCGGCTACATTTCAGCGTTGCATGAACGACTTGTTCAGACCGTGGTAAGATAGATTCGTCGTAGTTTATTTAGACGACATCCTAGTGTTCAGTAAGACCCTCAAGGAACATGAGGGCCATCTGCGGCAGATTCTAAGCAAGTTGAGAGAGTCTAACTTCAAAATTAACCCAAAGAAGTGTGAATGGGCCAAGACAGAGGTCCTTTACCTAGGCCATGTACTAGACGGCGACGACATTCGGCCTGAGGACAGCAAGATTGCATCCATTAGAGACTGGTCAACTCCTAAGACGCTGACAGAGTTGCGCTCATTTTTAGGACTGGCTAACTACTATAGGAAGTTTGTGAGGAACTTCTCTACGATCGTTGCTCCCCTTCGTAGGTTACTGAAGAAAGAGACTATCTGGAAGTGGGACCAGGATTGTACGTCAGCCTTCAAGAAATTAAAGAGGGCCCTGATAGAATACCCTATCCTCAGAGTTGCTGATCCGTCATTATCATTCGTTGTTACTAAAAATGCTACTCAGTATGGCATAGGTGTCGTTTTGCAGCAAGATGACAGCAACGGTTACAGACCCGTAGAGTTCATGTCAGTCAGGCTGCCTTCAGAGAAAGTCACAGCATCGACATACGAGAGGGAACTCTACGCTCTCAGGCAGGCCTTAGATCACTGGAAACACTACGTGCTCGGAAGGCACTTCAAGGTATACTCTGATCACGAGACTCTTCGATGGCTAAAGACACAGGTAAATATGACGCCCAAGTTAACTAGATGGGTTGCTGAGATAGACCAATTTGACTTTGAGTTAAAGCCAGTAAAAGGAAAGTATAACGTGGTAGCTGATGCTCTAAGTAGAAGAGCTGATTACTTCGGCGCGATAGTGCAGTATCTAGACATACAGGCCGATCTGCAGCAGAAAGTAAGAGATGCCTATGCACAGGACCCGATCTACAGTGAGCTGCTGAAGAGAGTAAAAGAAGCCCTAGATAGTGAGCCACACTACCGAACCACGAATGGGCTATTGTTCGAGAAGACCAACGTCGCTGACAGACTATGTGTCCCCAATAGTGAAGAAATTCGTCGCCTGATTCCAGGGGAATGCCACGATACGAAAGGACACTTCGGATGGCAGAAGACCTTAGCTAACCTGATGATGTCATACATGTGGCCAGGAATGAAAGCAGACTGCATAGAGTATGTACGCAGCTGCAAGGTGTGTCAGCGTAACAAGTCCACAACGAGAGCCCCGCTAGGCCTTCTTAGACCCTTGCCTATTCCGTCAGGACCCGGAGATTCGGTTTCCATTGACTTCATGGATACCGGGGTCAGAAGTAGGCACGGCAAGACTCAAGTCATGGTCATAGTAGATAGATGTAGTAAGTATGCAGTTTTTGTTCCCCTGCCTTCAGAGGCACGTACAGACTTAGTCATTAGTAAGTTTTTCAACTTCTGGGTAAGTGAGCATGGCATGCCGCTGTCCATCGTTAGTGATAGGGACACGCGGTTTACTAGTCAGAATTGGCAGGATCTTATGAAAGTCTATAGGTCTAAGTTGTTGATGTCGTCAGGACGACACCCAGAGACTAACGGTCAGACAGAGCAGATGAATAAGATCTTGCAGCAGCTACTCAGAATGTATATTAGACCAGATCAGATAAACTAGGATGAGATGCTTCCCAAAGTAGCAAGCGCCTACAATAATAGTGTCCACCTAGCTACTTGCAGAACTCCTAATGAGCTACATAAGTCCTTTAGGCCTAGGCGACCGTTTGAGGGACTAAATCGGGACCAGATACAGAGACTACCGCCCGGCACACGAGAATTTGCGTTGCAGCACGAGCAGGAAGTCGCTAAGGTCATAGACAATCTGAGGAAAGCCCAGCATCGGATGATAGAGCAAGCCAACAAGCACCGTCGACCTTCACAGTTTCAGGTAGGCGATCTAGTCTGGGTCAAGTCAAAGGAGTTCGCACCTGAGGAAAACATCTCGCAGAAGCTCTTACCTGCGTATAGAGGACCGTGGCCTGTCCTAGAAGTCAGAGGAGGAGAGGACGGCCCGTCATATACGATAGAGATCCCAGCACACCTCCACACGTACCCAGTCTTCCATGCCTCTAAGTTGTTACCTTGCACCACATCAGACAGATTTCCTTCCAGAAGATCAATGATTCCACCAGACATGGATGGTGCATATGATATAGATCACATAGTGGAAGAGGACGTGTTCAGGACAGGAGGTTGAGGTTGTCCCCAGAAACAGTATAAGGTTAGGTTCGCATACCAGGAGTCTGAGGACAACAGATGGTTTACAAGAACAGGGCTACTAAAAACTGCTCCCGACATAGTACACGCCTATGAGAGGGAAAGAAAGGGCAAAGGTCCTATCTCTAGTTAGACTGTTCTCAGAGGACCTCTGATTTAGGACGGCGGGAGTGAAACAGTTACACCCAGTTAACCCGACATTTGCAGACACAGAGATTCGATCCCTAGACCTGTGCCCAAACCCTATACATTGACCCTGTGTGCTGAGTGAGACTCGATCCCCAGGTTTGTAGATTAGGAGTTAGGTCTGTTACCGTTAGGCCTAGGAAGGTCTGTTCTAGAACTCTCTATCTGAGTCTATTGAGGCCTAGAGTCTGTCTGTAAGTCTGTAGGCTCTAGAAGGTCGTAGGTCCCTGTAGGCCAGTCCAGTCAGCAAGTACCAGGGGCAGGGGCTGCATGTGGGGAAGGTTCTGGACCACGGTGTGGGTTCCACACGTTTTGGCCCAGAAGGCCAAACGTTTGGAAGCTTCCCTGGGCCCACACGTTTTGGCCCAGGCCCACACGTTTTGAGGCAGGCCCGGGTACCTCCGAAGAGGTATAAATAAAGAGGCAACGTCCAGCCATTCATTCATTCGCCTGTGTGCCATGCGGAAGAGCTGCCTTGGTATCTTGTGCGTGGAGGACTGCAGGTGCCCGGAGAAGAAGTGGGCTGTGAAGAAGATAGCGGCCATAGCGAACCAGTGAGAGAGACACCGGCGTCCATAGCTAGGAGGAGGAAGACGACGGCGGCCATAGCCGCCCAGCTGTTGGTGTAGGCAGAGTATAGACAGTGGGTGTGACTGTGCAGCATGGACATTCAGGGTGATCCTCGTACGTGCATGCGTGCGAGAGTGAGGGAGAGTGAGGCTGGTGGTAGAGACAGTGTTCGGCGGCCATAGCCGCAAGTTGTGCAGTTGATTCAGACTGAGTTTAATACAAGTTCATTGTTGTTTCTGAGTTGGAAGAGTTCGGTTTGGCCATCAGTTCTCAAGTGTGCATGTTGTGAGTGAGTCTGAAGTCAAGTCCGATTGCAACGAGCAAAGAAGACATAAAAATCATAAAATCATCAAAATGCATGCAACCGAATCCGTTCTTCTTGAGAATTATCAGGAACAAAAAAGAAAAGAGCAGGAAAGACGGTCATGTTACTGACCTCTGGGCTGGCTTCTTTCAGCAAGTTGTAGAGATTCAATAGGAGGACCCTTTCCTCCTCGATGATGACCTTTGCACGCGCATCAAGAATCTGATCTGAGCTCAAACTGCTCAACGTAGGTGCAGCACCGCTGCTTGCTCGACTGGCCATTACCTTTTTCAACGTACGAGGAAGTCCTATGGCCCCAGTGGACGCAGCGTCATCTAGCCAAACACTTGGATTACTCCCCAACAACTCCTCAGAGGCGGAGGAGGAGGCTGATCTCCCAGCGCTACTCGCCTCTCCAGCAGCAGAAGGTTGCAGAGACTTCGCAGACGACACTGCCGGCTTCAGCGAGTTGCTGACATCGAGCTTATCTACGCCAGACCAGACGTTTGCCAAACTCGGTGCCCCAAGAGCTTCTAGAAGTTTCGATACACCAGCCTTGACCTCCTCCGCATTCGTTCCTCCTCTCTTGAGCAAACTGTGTACGTCGAGCAGCAGCCCATCTGCGCCTGCCTGGACGAAACTCTTGCCCTCCTCAAAGTCGCTCGATGACAGTCGTCGGCCCACAGGTGTCGTCTCTGCAACCACAGGAACTGTCACCTGTCTGCGTAACTCTGTGAGAACATCAACAAGACCAGCAGCTGATTTTGATCCTGAACCCGCCAACACTCCCTTGCCAATGATGAGCAAATCTGCGCCATCTGCAGAAGCCTTCGACCCGGAATCAACGGTAGAAACAAGCTGAGCAACAAGTGGTAGCACATCAGAATCCGCAGCACTGGAGACATTGGCCGCTCCTTGCATCATACGCCTTGCAACCACTGTCGGTAATCCTGGAGACGCAGGAGTTATGCCCAGTGGAGATGTCGTCCAAACAATGTTTTCAGTTTTTCTGACTTGTCATTAAGTTGAAGCTCAAACTGATCTGATCGAGTTGATTTTCTTGTGAACGGTTTCCTCTCTCTCTCTCTCTCTCTCTCTCTCTCTCTCTCTCTCTCT